TGCTGAAGGAACTAAATAGAAGGGATAATGCATTCGTTGCCCTACCTCTTCCTACTCCAGCTTCGTTCGCCAGCACTTCAAGCCAGGATGGGAAGTGTTGCAGCACATGCTAACCCACACTTTGGCTGAAATATATCGAGTACCATTGACTTATGAAGTCCCCTAATAGAAGCCAAACATCGCATCCACGAAATGCTCCATTTCCTCATGTCAAGCTGCCCCTGTGCTATTCATTTTCTGATTGGGGAAAAAAACATAGCCAACACGAAGACACCAGCATTCACCAACCTCAGAAGAAAGGGTGTCCCTTGGCTCACAATATCTGCTTCCCTCAAAACATGCAGAGTAGGCCACTGGGTGCTATTAAACATAGGACTCAAGGAAAGAGAGTGCTGGCAGACACTTTCTGGGTGCCTTAAGGACGGGTCTCTTGGGAAGCCCGTTCAGCTGTGGAAGCAGAGTGTCAGGCCAGGCTGCAAAGATTTTAACTTCTTGTTGCAGACACCAAGCCTCCCAGGACGGCTCCTGATTGATTCGTTATGAAAGAATCAATACCATGTTGGTTAAAGTGGGCACAGAACCTTCTTCATGTGATAAGGGAATTTGGGTGTAGGCTGTAACCAGACTGGAAGATTTAAAATTTCTTGCCAAAGTTGTGGAGTAAGCGGTCAAAAGCTAAATAATAAGGAGGCAATAAGTGTCAAATACAGAAAGCGTCACTAACAGTGTCCTATAACGCGTAGAGAATAAATCAAGAAGACAGAATCACAGACAGTTCTCTTATGACCCTCATTACTGAAAGCCGTGCAAGACTCCCCAGTATGTTCACCCACCCCAATTTATTGAGAAACCCACACTTCTCTACCTCCCCACTCCTATGGGAAAGTACCCCTTAGGGGAAATTTGGGTAGGGTGTTATATTCACCAGCCTTTTGTCCTTATAACAAAATACCCAACACAATCAAGTTACAAAGGGAAAAGGTTTACTAGGGGTTGCAGTTTTGGAAGTTCAAGCAGATGCTTTTTGGTCCCATTGATTTGAGCCTGATGTGTAGTAACACATTGAAGTGGCTGTGACAGGCAAAGCAAAGACAGAGGACAGACCCTATTGGCCTACGCATCCCCTAAAAGGCCCTCCTCCTACAGGCCGCACGGCCTCCTAATAATGCTACCCGGGGAACCAAACCTTTATAATCTCTCTTCTATCATTACTCTTGCTATGTTTTCTGAGACAGTCTTCATGTAGCCCCGCAAGGCTGACTTTAAGCTTTCTACATAACTGAGAGTGGTGGTTTGAATGAGGATGGGCCCCACAATAGGCTCAAATGCTTGAGTACTTGGTTCCCCCGGCCCTACCCTCCACCCCCATGGGTGAACTGTCTGGGAAGGATTGGGAGGTGTGGTCTGGTGGGAAAAGTGTCTCTGGCCATTGACAGTGCTCTGCCTCCTCTGGCTGTTGTGTGAGATGTGTGATCTCTCAATGGGTCCTGCTGCCAGGACTTCCCATTATAGACTCTCACACCCTGGAACTGTAATCCTCATTAAATGCTTTCTTAACAGGCAAACCAAAGATTACCTTGAACCCCTGATCCATTTCCTAGGTGTCAAGGTATCAGCACACCCCACTGTTCACAGTTCAACACATCTATCCTTGGGGGATGCTCATTATCCAAGCACAGCAGACCCAAGCACAGCAGACATTCACCTTAGACTCTACACGCTGGACTGACTCAATCTCTCTCTCTCTCTCTCTCTCTCTCTCTCTCTCTCTCTCTCTCTCTCTCTCTCTCTCTCTCTCTCTCTCTCATTCCCCATGGAATTCCCCTCTGCAAGCTAAGAAGACGGCCCTCAGTGTGCAAGCTCATGGCTGCCTAGGGCCAGTTGGCACCAGTACAAGAAAGGACCCTGCCTGAGGTAGACTTGGCAAGCTGAGAAGCAGGCATAAGTGAGCGAGGAAACGACTACCCATTGCCAGGTGAATGCTTCCTGTAGCTTTGACTTCTTTCCCATGAGTCTTCTCAGCCACGTAGTAAAAGGCAGTAATCTAGTTTGAACTGGATTTCTTCTTTGTGGTTAAAAAAAAGCCTTAAGCACACCTTTAAATAGGGAATTAGAAGTAAAGTTAAGTGACAATAATCATTTGAGGGATGAGGAGTCCTCTTCTCTTTTTTTATACTGTATTACATATAATATTTAGACTGTATTAAATATATGTACATTTATAAAAGCTAAACATAAGGGGACAAGAAAAGATTACATGCTGGGAGGTGGTGTCACACGCCTTTATTCACAGCACTCAGGAGGCAGAGGCAGGCAGATCTTTATGAGTTTGAGGCCAGCCCGGTCTACAGAGCAAGTTCCAGGACAACCAAGGCTATACAGAGAAATCCTGTCTTGGAAAAAAAGAAAGGAAAGGAAAAGGAAAGGAAAGGAAAGAAGAGAAAAGAAAGGACTACATGTAACAGATAAAGTTATGGAAGAGGCTGTAAAGCTAATTATTTTTCTAGTTCTAATTCTTCATGGACTTTCTGTCTGCTAGTGGATAAGTGCATAAAACACATTCAAGACTGAAAGTGTAAAACTTAATTTGAAGTTCACAGCTTCCATTTTGAATGCTAGTTCTAACCAAACAGATGTTCTCTTAGTCGTACGACTTAGAGTCTTGCAAATTTTGGTGTGTGATGTTTTTATTTATCTGGAATTTTTTAAAATAATAAAATGCGGTTTTAAAAGAGGGGGTGACTGGGGGTACAGCTGGTACCAGCTACTTGGAGTCACTGAGCATCCACAGCTGCCAGCCCCCGGGTTCCTCCACATGACAGTACTCAGCTCCAGGTATGTGTATACTTGGCTCCCTCCTTCAACAGTCCTCAGGATTCTGAGAGACCCTGCACACCTCTCTACCTCTGCTATCCCCCAGCACTTTGTACTTGGTTCCTTGTCCATATTTCCGGAACATGGCACAGAGAATGAGTTCCAGGCCCAAGGAACAGCTCAGTGGCAGTGCACTGTCACAGCAGTGAGAGATTATGGGTTCAGATTCTATCCTTAGCTCTGGAATAAATGCAGGCAAACTCCACTGCTGAGTAAATTGAGTGTTGTTGTTGGCTTGAAGAGCATCTAAGTAGTGCTATGAATTCACTTTTCTTGAACTACACAAGCAATGGGAGGATCCTAAAATTTGACCAGGTGGCTTGATCTGTCTCTTATTAAATTGCTTTTTATATATATAAAAAGAAAAAAGTGTTTATTTTATATGTATAAGTGTTTGTCTACACGTAGAATGTGTACCATGTGCATGTAATGCTCGAGGAGGCCAGAAGAGGGAGTCATATTCCCTGGAACTGGAGTTACAGATGGTTATGAGCCACCTTATACATGCCTGGAACTGAACCCTGGTCCTCTGCAAGAGCAGCCAGTGTGCTTAACCATCAAGCCACCCCTCCAGCCCAACATTGCTCTTTTTACATTGCTCTGCTCTAAAGCGTTTCTGCTGAAACACTGATGAAAGGAGAGGTGAGCATCCCTTTACTGCAGCACTTGTTACCTGGGATATTGTTGACTTTTATCTCACCACTGGACTATGGTGTGCCCTTAAATGCACAGACGGTGTCTTACTGGATTTGTCCACACAGGCTTTAACACAGTCCTTGGTGCAACAGGCACCTGCTGTGTCCTTACCATACAGATGACTATTTAAACCCTGCAGAACCTCACTTCTCAAAGTGTGATCACAGCAGCATCAGCAGCAGCATCTGGGACTGATGCTGAGACCCCTTCCCAGAACTGCTGTTTTCTAAGTTAAGATTCAAAAGTGTTGCTGTAGAGAATATAGGACCCAGGAAGAGTCCTGGAGCCTTCTCGAGGACATGACAAGACACAGCACAAAACAAAACAGTTCCACTGTAGCCCAAGGCAGAATCTGTCCATGGAGAAAGCTCAGAAGCAGTGTGAGGTCTCAGACTGAATGGAGCAGTGCCACACCTTGGCAGTGGGTTGCCTTGGTGAGAAAGAGGGAAGGAAGGGTGTGGGTACCACAAGTTCAGGTGAGAGATGAGGAGGGCTGTAACCAGGGAGGTGAAGAAGAGGGTCTTGGAGGCAGGAGAGCTGGAGCAACCCTGATGGATGTGAATAAAAAAGACTTTAGGGGAATAGAGGGCTAAGTCTGGGAGCTTGCTGGGCTGGAGCAGGAATTTCTGTGGGAATCGGGAGGCAGAGGCACAAGATGATGCCCCAGATGAACGGTCCTCGGGACCCTTTGCACTGTACAACATTTAGGTCACACGGAAATGTGACTTCTCCCACCTTTAAGCTGGAGATCATGTTTAAATTTAAAATCTGATCCGGTTCCGGGATACGAGACACAGGCCCATCCTTTTAAGGCAGACACCTTCAGGATCGTAGTCCTAGACTTCACGGATGTGGTAATAGAAATAATAAATTGTCACTTTGGTACTTAAGTGAATTGGGTTTGGACCAGTGCCTGCAGGAAGCTTTTGCAAATGATTTCCACTCTCAAATGGCTCCAGGAGTACTTAACAAGTAAACCGGGCGATGATATTGGCGATCCAAGTAGCAGCAGTTTCTACCCAGTTAAGCGAACGTCCCCAGGGGAACAATAACATCGAGTTTGCAGAGAGGCCAGCTGCAGCTTGCTACTGTAAGGTTCCTCTGCCCCAACCTGCTCTCCCTGCATCCCTCCTGTACATTCCGAAAACCCAGTCGCTATTTGCAATTCTTTCGGTCCTGAACTCGGCAGTTTAGGGAAAAGCACTACGAAGCCTAGTCCCCCGGTGGCTAGGACTCATCAGGGAAGTCACAGGAACCAAATAGGATGCCAGGTTCTCCTCCAGGACGAGATGCAGAGCCAGTCTCGGCATGACTGCTGCAGGCGGGTGTCCACGGTAGCGGTCCCGCCCCGCGCTCAGCTGCGACCTGTGGGGGCGCGCGCGGCCTCATGGGGTTCTCGCGGGCGCGCGCCAGGCAGGGAGCGCGCAGGGCGGAGAGCTGGGCGCGAGCGCCGCCGCTCACCTGCCGCGGGCGCCACCGCGGACGTGCCACGCGGGTGGCCCGCGCTCTTCGGCAGCACCGGAGGAGCCCTCCTCGGTCTGGGCGTGCCAAGGTGACTCCCGATGACCCCCTCGACCCGCAGGCTGTGCGTCCCCACCGCTAGGGGAGCGGCCAAATGCATGCACATCCTTCTCTCTGTCTGTCTGTCTGGGCACCTCGGTGGTACACACCTACCTTTTGTGGCCCTAGCTGTTTGATCTGTGCACACGGGGAGAGACTGGGACACCCCCCCCCCGCCTCTTTGTTTGGGTCCGGAGGTGTGTTTGGGGGTGTGCACGCGCGTGGGGGATTTTTAGAAGGGTGGGAGTTCCGGGCTCTTAAAATAGTCCGCCCTTCTGCAGACTTGTAGGTGCTGGGCGGTGCTCTCAGCTGTCCAGATGTCAAACAGTTGTTGCTTTTTGGCATGCAAGATACAATTTGCCAATATTGATTCCCAGCGCTTTGGCGAGTGTTCTTGTGCCGCCTCGGGAGTCCTGTCCTGTGTTTCCCTCGGTGACAAATGGCATTTCAGTTGTGGGGTTTAATCCATGCAGACTTCAGCTTTTGTTTCTAATTCCTGAAGCTCGTGGCATTTTTGACACTGGTGTCTGAGCGCAGGGCTGTCTGTCTGTCTCTGTGTGTTTTGCATGATCTTGGATTGGCACCCTACTGTTACCAAACATTAAAAAGCCTGTCTTTCCGTTGAAGAGGACAGGGGTTAAAATGAACGAAGACCTGAAGGTCAATTTAAGTGGGCTGCCTCGGGATTGTATAGATGCCAGTGCTACGGAAAACATCTCAGCCGCTGCCCCCTCCCAGGACCCTGGTGCGGAGTCAGAACCTGAGCTTGTTGTCAACCCTTGGGACATTGTCTTGTGCAGCTCAGGAACCCTCATCTGCTGTGAAAATGCCATTGTGGTCCTTATCATCTTCCACAGCCCCAGCCTGCGAGCACCCATGTTCTTGCTGATAGGCAGCCTGGCTCTTGCAGACTTGCTGGCTGGCCTGGGACTCATCATCAATTTTGTTTTTGCATACCTGCTTCAGTCAGAAGCCACCAAGCTGGTCACAATTGGGCTCATTGTTGCCTCTTTCTCTGCCTCTGTCTGCAGTTTGCTGGCTATCACTGTGGACCGCTATCTCTCACTGTATTATGCCCTGACGTACCACTCTGAGAGGACAGTCACATTTACCTATGCCATGCTGGTTATACTCTGGGGAACGTCTATCTGCCTGGGGCTGCTGCCTGTCATGGGCTGGAACTGCTTGAGGGATGAGTCCACCTGCAGCGTGGTTAGACCTCTCACGAAGAACAATGCTGCCATCCTGTCCATCTCCTTCCTCTTCATGTTTGCACTGATGCTTCAACTCTACATCCAGATCTGTAAGATTGTGATGAGGCATGCCCATCAGATAGCCCTGCAGCACCACTTCCTGGCCACATCGCACTATGTGACTACCCGGAAAGGGGTCTCAACCCTGGCTCTCATCCTGGGGACCTTTGCTGCGTGTTGGATGCCTTTCACGCTCTATTCCTTAATCGCCGATTACACCTACCCCTCCATCTATACCTACGCCACACTCCTGCCTGCCACCTACAATTCCATCATCAACCCTGTCATATATGCTTACAGAAACCAAGAGATCCAGAAAGCCCTCTGCCTCATTTGTTGTGGGTGTATTCCTTCCACGCTGTCCCAGAGAGCACGCTCTCCCAGCGATGTGTAGCAACCTTCCTCCACCTGCAGGATACCGCCTCCACCAAGCACCCCACTGCCCAGGATGGCCAGTGCTTTCCTGTCCTTCAATCCTTTGCACTGGATTCTCACAAGCAGAAGCAATGGCATCATTCAGATAAGCAATGACAGTGAAAACCATGCCACCAGTGTTAAAAACAAAAAAGGAAAACAAACGACTTCTCTGCTCAGCATTATGGTGTTTGTTTGGAAGTTAGGTTTATTATCATTTTTAAAAATATTTCATTTAATAGGGTTTTTTTCTTTGTTTTGGAGGGTATAGTGGGACCCCATGTGGTCATGAAATGATGCACAAGTCCCAAGATTTTTAACCTAGACCTGAAAATAAATCGAATTTTTTAAGGAAACTGGAGAAGGGATTACTTTTTTCTGGACTTTTTTTAAAAAATCAAGTTGGATCTTCCATTTTGTATGTATCTAGCAGGATATGAGCTTTTTCATATGACCAAAATAGTTTACATAATTATGTTTGGAAAGACTTGTTTTCAGTAACGCAGACTCAGTGATAAGTTACCAATAACCAAACCACAAACCCCTTTATTCTTCTCTATTCTCAGCAGTCTCTGCCCCTGAGAATTACTTTGTAGTGTCTCTGTGTTACAGTTTGGCATGCATGGTTACCTGTGCTAGTTACACCACTAACTGCAATATTGCCACGCTAATCCCAGAATTAAAGGAGTCATTTTTCAATACAGTTTAATATATTCTTTCCAAAATGAGTCATGAAAAAACATTTTGAATTATATGTGAGGTAGCACTAATTAGATTTGCCATTGTGATTTTTAAAACTTCAGTCTGGTGGTTTTCAGAAAACAAAAGAGAAAATATTAATAGTATCTATTGAAAGTAGATTATATTTATTTTTAATATATTCTGAAAAATAAATGAGTATGATGCTGTTAAGAAATATGCAAACATCTCCTTTCACATTTCTGTATATGAATATATTAATTGTTTTCTTGCTTAAGATGAATAGAATTAAGTATTACAAACCAAAATTTTTTCTGGCTCATATTGCTGGTAGTGCAAAATGCATTCTGAAGCAGGTGGTCTCCTGTCTTAATGACTAGGTCTGTGAAATGCCCAGTTAAGGTGACTGCCATGTGCCATCTGTGTCCTGTGGGCTCACAAGAAGAATAACCATGTGTTTGTTGGTAAAAAGTTTAATTTCTTTTCACTGTAAGATACAGTGAATGCAACAAGGATGGTTACCTGCTTTCATAGAGCAAAGGTTTAGCTGAGAAATTATTACAGGAAGTGACTTGAAACACTCAACAAGGTCATTGTGCCTGAATGTCACTTTCTGTGAGAGCAGGCAGATGCAGCCACAGACACCATCCCTCTGTTGGTAATGGGCTCATAGCTGTGTCTCTACAGGAAGTGGAAGGATTCCTGGATGGTGCATCGAGACCAGTGTCCTCAAGGGTATCTCTTGTAATAGGTCCCTCTCAAAGGTTTGTCCAATCAGTATGCCCATGGTGGCTTTAGTACCAATCTCCAAGCCTGCTTGCCAAAGCCATCTCTCCAATGCTGCTTCTCACATAGAGAATAAATCCTCTACTTGAATTGGCATCTCCTCTCAGAGGCTATTTGTGGAAGCACGTGAGGGGGTGACATATTTAAGAAGTGGGAAAGGACTTTCAGCACTGTATAATCACCCCCTGTCCAGCTGACAACTTTAAAACACGTCTTTTGAATAGCAGACGGGCTTGTTAGAATGAATAGGCTGTGTTTACTTAAATGTTTTATTTATTTTACTCACATATATGTACATGTGTACGCATCTGCATGTGCATGCATGTGAGTGTAGGTGCCCTGAGAGGCCAGAGGTATCCAACCCACCTGGAGCTGGTGTTACAGATGGTTGTGGGCCGCGTACAGATGGTGGGAATAGAACCTGGGTCCTCTGCAAGAGCAGCCAGTACAGTGCTCTTAACCACTGAGCCATCTCTCCAGCCCCAGCAAGTTAGGTTAGACACGGGCAGGGAATTTCTCATGATGAGTTCTTAAAGCCAAAGATGACATTTTATAGAAATAAATGGAAGCTCTCATTTGAATAGCTCTGGGAGGAATTACAGAAGAACAGCAAGTTTTGCCTGGACCCCATGTATTCTCAGTCCCATACTTGGTGTTCTACCAACTTTTTAAAAAAACTGTAGCTGTGAAAACACACATTTGTGGCAAGGAAACCATAGCTGCAGAGAGAAGAAACAGACTGAGGCTATGGGCTGTAGTGTGGGCTAGAACTGAAGACAGGCTTTCCACAGCCTAGATCAAGTTCCTTCCCTAGTAATGCTGTCTTTGGTCTCTCACTCCAAAGAGAGCTGCCTTTTAACACGTCACTGTCACAAAATCTGGGTTCTATAATTGAGAGAAAACATCCCATTTAAAATTACATGTGGACCAATAGCCAATGAGGGTAAATGTTTGTGTACATGGTAAGCTGGGCGAAACGGCCTTATATATTTACTCAGTGACTGCTTAAAAGCTTTTACATTAATTTGTGCATGCATGTATGTGTATTTGTGTGTGGTGTGTGTGCATGTGTGTATATATATGTATATATATATATGTATGTGTGTATACATGTGCGTGTATGTATGCATGTGTCTATACATATTGAGTGTGTGTGTATATATGTGTGTGTGTATGCATGCGTGTGTGTATGTATATGTGTGTATATGTATGTATGTGTGTGTACGTGTGTATACGTATGTATGTGTGTATACATGTGTATGTGTGTGTGTATGTATGTATGTATGTATGTATGTGTGCATGGTACAAGGATGGATGTCAGAGGACAATCTGTGAGAGTCAGTTCTCAGGTCTTTGTTTCTACATGAGGGTTCCGAGTATTGAATTTGGGTCATTAGGCTTGGTGGCAAGCACCTTTCACCTGCTGAACCATCTTGCTGGCCCAGTGGTTGCTTTTGACCCATTTTTTGATAACACACGTGATTTTACCCAAGTGTTTTCTTCATCCTTACTGTTTAAATTTTGAAGAGTTTTTAGCATTCAACTTATTTCCTACAAGGTTTCTCTGTTTTTAATAAGGATAACCACTAAGAAATGGATACCCATCTAAATATATGTATATGTGTATGAGGTTACGAGTATATATTAATCATATTTTGGGCCATTTTAGAGCAACAGAGAATCTTGTGTTCCATATAATTACAATTACTACTTACCAAGGAATTTATAGTCTTGTCAGAAGAAATAGTTGGATCTGTTAGACAATTTAATCATTTTACCAGACTCTTTAATTAGTCCAGAGTATTTACCCAGATGATGGCTACTTGAGTCCTGTCTCATTTTAGTTTTTTACCTTCTCTATTTCAGTTGGTTTTCCCTCTTTTTTTTTCTTTTCCTTTATTGAGGTTTAAACCAGCTCTTTGCCCCTGCTAGACAAGTTCTCAGTCACTGAACTACCCGCCCAGCTCCAATCAAGTTTGCTGGTGGTAGAGTGGCCCTTCTCCTTCCTGGTAGCTGAGACAGTGGGGGGGGGGCTTCCTCATTTAGATGCCTAAAATCAAAGGGCCAAATTGTGGAGTAGAAACAGCCATAGATTTCCCCAGGATTTGAAGCAGAATGGAAACACGACGAAGACGAGGATCAGAGATATTTCATACCCACCAAAAAGCAGAACGGAGACTCTTTAAAGTTAAAAAGATAAACTAAAATATTGGTGGCTTCACTTCACGGTCTCAGCAAGCACCGTGCAAAGGTGAAGAGGCACCACTTCATGCTGGAAGTTCACGCTGCCACTGGTGTGATTTTGAGCTGGTTTACACTCATTCCCACCTTGCTGACTCTTGCACTGTAATCCTGGAATGCACTGCTTTCTTGTCTGGCCTGGAAACCATGATGCTTACTGGGATGCTTTTGAGGTCCACTTACGACCATTAGATTTCACTATCAGCTTGGGGCTGGAGAGACAGCCCAGCGGTTAAGAGCACTAGCTACTCTTGGAATCTGACAGCTTCCCACAGACATACAAGCAGGCAAAACAACAACACACAAAAAAATAAAAAGAAATGAATTGTTAAAAAGAACTATTCAATTAAGGATTTTCTTCAAATTTTCAAGACAGGTTTGTGTGTGTGTGTGTGTGTGTGTGTGTGTGTGTGTGTGTGTGTGTGTGTGTGTGTGTGTGTGTAATAGCCCTGGCTGTCCTGGAACTCACTTTGTAGACCAGGCTGGCCTCAAACTCACAGAGATCCATCTGCCTCTGCCTCCCGAGTGCTGGGATTGAAGTCATGAGCCGCCGCCACCCAGCCTCAACTAAGGATTTTATAATATGTTTTTGTGTTGTGATTAAGTTAGGAGATGTATCTGCCTTCTAGAAAACAATGGAGAAAAAGATTATGGTCATGTTCATAAAGGCATCTAGAATGTTCTGTATTTAGGAGGCATAGCATATGAATCCCCAGGAATCTTGTGAAAAGTTTAGATTCAGGCCCCTGGGTCCTGGCTGGCTGTCTCACTAATTCCCGGGGGATTCTGGTATTGAGCATCTATAAGTGACACTTTGAAGTTTCACAAAGAAAATGTCAATTTTTCAAATATTAACACAATACATAAACACCAGTCAATAAATACATGTGTTTAAAGTGTTTATTTTCATGAGTGTTAATGAATAAGCAGAGTATGTTCAAAGGACATGAACTTTAAGCCTTCCTAGAGTTTCCCAACATGTAGCTAAGAAGACCTGGAACTGTATGGGTTCTCTGTTTTAAGATCTGATTGTCATGATCTGAAGACAGTAATTTCTAGAAACTCCTTGTAGTGTCCCACCTGCCGCTGCCCCTCCCAGCAGCAGAGACCTTCACCTCCAGTTTTCAAGGGCAGTTCTCTGTATGATGTGAGTGGTTTGTGAGTGTACTTCAATTCATCTTGGGGTAATTAAGATGAAAACCTTTGCTCTCTGGGCTCAGTACTCCAGCTGAATTCACCACAAAGCCATTGTTCTCGGTAGGGACATCAAAGGATATTAAATGACCTCACTTCCATTTGACATTTGTCTGTGACCTTTTCTTTGCAGCATTGAAATGTCTATTAACCTTAACCCAAAACATTTCATTTTCCGTGCTTTCTTTCTGCCCAAAGAGACGAGAATTTTGCATTTCATTTTCTCAGACAGGAAGAGGTTAGAGTTAATAGTTGAGGTGAATGCCAGTACACAACTCAAACATCTCCTTTGTAAAAAAATATTTTTAAAAGTGGTTTAGATTTGTTTTTGTTTTCAAGATAGCATCTTGCTATATAGCTCAGGCTAGAATCTGATTTTTTTTTTTTAGATTCCAAGTCCGGTATGAAAGTGTGGGCCTGGGACAATGAGGCAGGAGGGTCTGGAGTCCAAAGCTAACCTGGGATATATATCAAGAATCCTCTTCCTCCTCCTGCTCCTCCTCCTCATCATCCTCTTCATCCTCTTCCTCCCCTCCCCCTCCTCCTCTTCCTCTTCTTCTCTTCCTCCTCCTCCTCCTCTTTTAATTGGATTCTAAAGCTGGGCACCAATGAAAGACTTTTCACTTGAAAATAAGCTTAGGGGACTGGAGAGATTGCTTGGTGGTTAAGAGCACTGACTGCTCTTCCAGAGGACTTGGGTTCAATTCCCTGCACCCACATGGCAGCTTACAACTGCATGTAACTCCAGGATCCAACACCTCACACAGACATTCATGCAGGCAAAACACCAATACACAAAAAGTAAAAATAAATTATTAAAAAAATAAGTTTAGAGGAGAAATATATATATTTACTTGGGCACCGATTATCTTGGCATTTGGTTCTTTGGACAGATCATTTAAAGTACAATATTTTAAACACTAAACCAAAAAAATAAACAGTTTACAGAATTTTCAGTAAGGTTTGGAGTTGCATTTCTCAACCAAGCAATGTATTTTGAGTCTCAGGAAGTATTACTTGAATGGCTGAAAATGTAAATTTTCCCACAGGGAGGGACTGTCCTACAGACATCATGAGGTCATTGGGG